TTCCAGTCTGGGTAGGGCTGGCCTCCTTTCTGTCCAACAAATTAATTTGTTAACTCTTCACACAAACAAGAGGTAAGGACTATATTGGGTTCAAAAATATTGTCACTGACATGAGTGAATATTGTCACTGAAATGAGAAAGGATTGGAATTGGTGTGTGCCCTCTCCTCCCCATTCCCACAAATTCTTGCAGTCCCTACAGTCTGACTAGAAGGACACAGCAGTGGTGGGATTTCAGACCATTTCAGCTGATTCATGGCTGTAATTTACTGAAGGCTGATGCTGCCACAGCTCCCCCAGAGAAGGAGCAGAGAAAAGGAATGGGAACACTCACTGGGCCATGCCACAGAGCCTTCAGAGAATGGTCAGGTTATTTCATCTGCCTTGCCATGGCATTTCTGGGGTGCCTCAGTGAAGAGCTTCCCAGACTAAGCAACACATCCCTTTTGGTGCCAGTGTAGGATTTTGCCTCTGAAAGGTGAGGCTGACAAATTGGAACTAATCTAAGGCAGTGTGGTACAGTCATCTCGCCTGCAGGGACACATTTCAGCATTCAGCTGCAGAATGCCAGCTTAAGAACAAGCTCTTGATAAAGGAAAGTTCAGGCCAAGCCTGGGGATGCACGACTTTTAAATCAAGAACACTTTTTTTTTCTCCCCTTAGTCTACCCCCTCCTCCCTGGGGAAGGCAATATGATAATGCTGTACTGCAAATAGAGGGAGAAAAGTTGAGAAATCTCTCTTCACTGCACTAGTTTTCCTTCATTTCCTAAAGCTGTTTCACAGTTTAATCCATCAGAGAGGGTGAGATTAGTGTTATGGAGAAATTCACAAATATTTTTATTTTTGTGCCACATTTTTTTTTAAACTAAAGCTAAAGATCAAGTCGTGCACTACCCCCAGCAAAAGGAGTCCTTCTATTCAGGTGAGAGCTGAGGACAAGTTGTCAGCTAGAAATGAGGGGAAATCATGCTGAAGATTCTCTATTTTAGCTGGGTCAAACAATGGCATCTTCCTGGGCAATTTAATTAATAAGCTCATGCAGCATAACATCATCCATGCACTGTAACTGCAAAACCAGGTACACTTAGAAGTGTAATGGTACCAGGCTTTAAAGACTTCAAGAAAAGGGAGAAGCCTGTCTTCCTGTTTTGGGAAAGACTCTACATCCTTGGCCACAAGCAAACAGCAGGAACCTGTCATTATTCTGTATTTCAGGAGCAGCTGGGTATAATCATGCAGCAAGAAAAGGACTTGGAGGGTATTTTTTCCACTGAAAAGAGAGTTTAAAAACAACAAACAAACAAACAAGCAAAAAAATAATAAAAAACCCCAACCAAACAGAGAACCCCAAAAACTTGCATTCAGATTGTGTATAGACTTCCTAAATATTCTGAATTAAAGGAGCTGCTTAATCACCCCTGTACATCCCACATTTCTTTTCATTACTTATTGTATAGGAATGAAATTTTTTAAACTCTTGCATAAACTTGAATAAATCAGTAAAGTCTAGCATCCCATTTCCATGCATCCTGATACACTGAGCTCTGACATTCATTTCCAAGACCATTTCTTTTAGAGCCACCTGAATATACCTGCAACATATAAACAGCTTCCTCACAGGTGAGTCTGTGCTTTACAGTTGCAGTCCCAAACTCATTTGTTGCTGGTGATGAAAATTTCACCACATCCAAGTCAGAGTCACAACCCATTTTGTCTTGAGAATGAGCAACTATTTGTGGAAAACAGGCAATTCTTGGTGGCATTGTTGCAGAAGTGGCCTAAACTACTAAACTTCAGTTCACAACAACAAAGGAAGAAGGATTTTGGGTGATAGCACAGGACTCACACCCTCAGTCAGTCCTGCATCCCCAAAAACAGCAATGAAGAAAAATCTCACCAGATTAGCTGTTATTATATCACCCTGGCTTGGTGAGTGGTTGGCTCCTGTCCTGATGCCAGGAGAACAAGTCCATCCCATCCCATCCCATCCCATCCCATCCCATCCCATCCCATCCCATCATCCCATCCCATCATCCCATCCCATCCCATCCCATCCCATCCCATCCCATCCCATCCCATCCCATCCCATCCCATCATCCCATCCCATCCCATCCCATCATCCCATCATCCCATCATCCCATCATCCCATCCCATCATCCCATCCCATCCCATCCCATCCCATCCCATCATCCCATCCCATCCCATCCCATCCCATCATCCCATCCCATCCCATCCCATGCCATCCCATCATCCCATCATCCCATCCCATCCCATGCCATCCCATCCATCCCATCCCATCCCATCCCATCCCATCCCATCCCATCCCATCCCATGCCATCCCATCCATCCCATCCCATCCCATCCCATCCCATCCCATCCCATCATCCCATCCCACCCCATCCCATCCCATCCCATCCCATCCCATCCCATCCCACCCCATCCCATCCCATCCCATCCCATCCCATCCCATCCCATCCCATCCCATCCCATCCCATCCCATCCCATCCCATCCCTCCTCCCAGAGCTGCTGACACTCTCAGGCTCCTCATGGTGCCTGGGATTCCAGAGGACAGCCAAGTGCATCCAACAGTGCACTTTGCAGGTTGTGCAAGGCTGTGCACTGGTGGGGTAAAAGAAAATCCTCTCTCACACTGGCAGGAGATCAATTTACAAACTCAAGCATGAGGTTTAATTACCCATTTCATTATCTTAGCTTGCATAGTCTGAATGTGAACCTTCAATGAACCAAAGAAATAGTCACCAGCTGCTGCTTTGAGAAGGAGGGAGATAACAGGAGGAAGTTCAAATGCCTAGAACTGCTCTTGCTGCATGTGGCACCCCTTGGAGGTTATCCCCAGCCAACAGATCTGTGTTGGACCCCACTATGTGGAAAACTTCTGAAAGTCCTATTTATGTGCTAATCTGAACAAAGACCAAAAGAGATGAAGCAGAGTTATCTAGCCAATCACTGAGAAGCCTCAGAGTTAAATTTTCAAACACAAGCAAGTGATCCTTAGAGATTTTTTTAGACATTCATCCAGTAAATTCAAGTAAATAAATTGTGATGTGCTTGTGGATTTTGTATGAGCATGAAATAAAGTGTTTGCTGCAAATTATTCACTCAGCACTAGTTAACTGCAATGCTGGCACATTACTAGGCTTTTTAATATTCTTCTCAAGATAACAGGTAGCATTTTGCTTATTATCCTAATTTTTAAGTTATTAGTTACATTAGGCCATTTGTAAATACAGTGAAGAATTGCAAGAAAATCAAATGTTTTTTTCAACTAGCTCATTAAAATTCTCTTTAGTTCAGGAGGGCTGAAAATCCTGCATATCATGGAAAGTTAAACCAAGAGGACACCATCAAGCTCAGCAATTCCAAATTAATTCACATGCCCTTTCCCACTACCTGGGTTCCCAAAAGGCTTTTCAAGTTCTGAGCCATATGAATGCCTATAAAAAGCTGCATGTCTTTCAAAAACTATAAATAACAGAGCAGGGGAAAAACCCTACAGGGCAAGTGAACTTAGGGGGAAAACAAAAGCTGCTTAATTGCAAGTGGAGTTTGCTTATGTGCACGGCACCTGGAAGAAAGGAAAGTGATGTAATACCAGATTCTAGAGCCATTTTGGGGCTTTTTTTTCCTTTATAGTGACACATTCTGATAAATTCCTGGTGCTGTCTGATGCCACCCCTGCAGTGTCACTGACTGGTTTGGGATTTGCCAAGAGCTGGGTGAGCATCACTGCAGCTGCAAGGAGCCACCTGTTCTGTGAAGTTTCGCTCAGAACACACAGAACCACTGTGGAAATCACCCCCACCACTCCCTGCTGCTTCAGCTTAACAATGAGCAAAGAAAAGGAGCGATAAGGAGCACAGATCACAGGACCATAAATGGTGGAAAAGACCTCTAAAACCACTGAGCCCAGCCATTAACCCAGCACAGCTAATCCATGTCCCTAAGCACCACACCCACACATTTTTTAACACTTCCAGGGAGAGTAATTCCACCACTGCCTTGGTTCCAATGCCTGATCACCTTTTCAGTAAAGATTTTTTTTTTCGTAATATTTAATCTAAAACTCCCCTGGCACAAGTTGAGGCTGTTTCCTCAACAAAGAGCTGCCAGCAGCCCCATTTTCTGCACCTTCTATCTTCCTCCTCCTCAGTGGTCTTCTCACCCATACAATAACCCAGCCTTGTTCTGCTTAGCAATGCAACACCTAATTAGATCAGAGCTCAAGGTAGCCTGGCTACAAAGTGAATTGTGTTATTTAGTCTTGCACTGTAAGCAAAATCACATGCAGTATATTTCATTTCTCAGGGGCTTCTCCAGAGAACTGTGTGGTACATGTAATTGCCCCCACAAACAAATCATCAACTAATCAACTGCTTTTCATTATCACCTCCAGCAGCACATTTATTTTGTAAATAAATGCATTAAGAGCAAACAATTTTAGGGAAAACAAAAGATTATCTGAATACGATCTCAGCAGAGGAGGTGGTAAAGTAGTAATTCAGATACTAAAATGGAGCAAAATTAGCATAGGGTGGAATGATTATTCCATTCCATGTATCCCTATCTATTACAGTACAATAACAGAGTGAAATCTGTGACTTTAATGGATGATCTGGGTAGTTTAAGGGAGCTGTGATTGACTGACACATTTACATAGGGGCTGATGAGCAGCATAATGAGTGCATTCATAAAACACAGCTAAGGTCTAACTCTGAGCTGACATTAACTCCCACACCCAGAGGAGCCCTGTACAGCAGATACTCTGCTGTTTTGGGGACTTGCTCTCTACCTCCTGGAGCAAACAAATTCCCTATTTTCCCTTTTCCTAGGTGGGAATTTCAAGAAGCACATGGCCATGTGAGAATCTCCAGTTGAAGAGGAATTAATTGAAACAAGTCATATAAGATTAAATGCCAAAACAGTGCAAGGTGTATAAGGCAAATATAACAATAAATGGGTTCATCCCCCACACCATACCTGTAATTTCCTAGGTAAACTCCATCAGGATTGAGCATGGGAGCAATCTTGAACACCAGGTGGTCTCTCAGTACTTTTGCAATTGGATGGTGGCTCACAAGGAAATCAATTATACCTGAGAAAAAAAAAATTAAAAAGGAGTTTGAAGAGGGGTGTCTGTGACATCAATGATTTCCAGATCTCTACTTGAAATTTCACATATAAAAGATTGGAATGATGATTCCTCCTGGTTCCTGGCACTGCTCCTGCTTCCAACAGAACAAACCACTTGCAATCACACAGCACCTGCTTAAAACTGCAAGAACTTTAAGTAGAAATACCTGAATCTGTCCTCATAATGCAAGTACACCATGGCTGCATTAGCAGACACTGTCGAGTTTCCACAGAGGGAGAGGTTACTGCTCATCAGCTGAGCCACAATAATAGAAAGGAGAAATTGAGATACCCCTCACACCCAGCCTGCTCAGAGCTCACCTTGTGAGTGGAAATTTGTTGAGATGAGCCATCTCAAATTCATTTCAGCATACACCCAGACCTACCCACTGCATACGAACACAGATTTCAGATCACCTGCATGTATGAAGGGGTGTAAAATGCCTCACAAAAACTGGGAGAGTTGCACAATATGTGCACTGGGCACAGGGATATTGTGCCACTGGTGGACTGGAATTTATGCAGCCATATCTTTCACTTCTTTTATACTCCTAAAAACCAGGAGTAACTCCACTTCATCAGCTCCTCTAGTGTGGAACCCTGGCAAGTGATGGGGATGGGGACCCTAAATGCCCTTCCTTTGGGCACATCACAGCACCAGAGCCTGCAGGAGCTCCTTCCTCTTGGCCTGGTGCTTGGGGAGCCATTGCCTCAGCCCAGGGCTGGTGCTGGGGCAGGAGAAGGAAGCTGGCAGCTAAATTCACTGCTGAGTTGGTACTGACAGAAATAGCTTCCAGGGAATTAATGCTGAGATAAATTGAGTTCCTGTGTAATCTCAGGACACCCACAGATAGGTCATGACAATTTGCTATTTATTGTAAGGTCCATCCTGTGAAGCAGGAACCATTTACTGAATTTCCCCAGAATAAATCAATCACTACGGTCTAGCAACAGGGTAAAATTAAGCAGAGAAAAATTAAGGCTGCTCATCAGTAAAATTTCAGTAATGGTGAGCTCTATTAGAGTGTGGAATTGTCTCTCCAGGGTAAGAGTGGAATCCCATCATCAGAAACATTTAACACTGGGCAGGGTAAAGCCTCAGGGAATAGCTATAACAAGCAATAATTCAGCATAGAGGGATGGCCTGGGCTAACTAGCTGACTTCAGACCTGATTTTTTGTGATTCAATCAAAGAGTTAAAAAAAGCCCTTAAACCCCATGTTCATGCCAGGTTAAACTCACTTGTTTACAGCTTGGCTGAAACATGCATTGAAGATGAGACCAAAATCTTACATTCTGCATGACTCCTTCATTTAGCTAATTTCTTAAGGCCCACTTTGTATTTCAAACACCAGAAAGTCTGAACCTAGGCTGCTGTTGGAATGAATTCGAATTTTCTGAGGCATATGGAGAAAAATTAAGCTTCTGAAATGTCTGAGTTCATCAAGGCATAGTTGACTCTAAACATCAGCAATTTTTTCATGTCTCAGTGATGAATCCTGAAGAGGAGAGAAGAACTTTCTGTAACCAGGTCTTCCACTCGAGAAGAAACTAAACCTGAATTTCTGAGGCAAATGAGCATATACATAATTATATTTCTCAGGAAATGTCCCTGCAATTACCTCCTCTCGATGAAGGAAACTGAACATTGATCTGCTTTTTGGCTGCTGTTGTGACTTTTGTTCATTATCCAACAGCAAGAACACGAAGGAACGACGGGGACACAGTTGGATCCTGAATAACCAGATTTCCTAACTGTATGCAAACACAAAAAGCTTAGCTATGTTAAACTGCTGCTCTGACTGTTTCCTGGCAGTGTCTGAAACATAATCCACAGCACTCACACCTGGAGGGCTCAAAATCACTTAAAGGGAAACAACCCCTCACTTAGTCCTTGGTTTCTCAAGACCCTGTGCTGGTTTTAGTTTTAAAGAGCTTGCAACTTGACTCAACTAGACTCAAACTCATCAGTTTGTATTTTCTAAAACACTTGGAGGAGTTAACCACTCAGAAATCAGCGTGTCCAGAAAAAGTTTTATCCCAGGTTAGATAAGACCCTTCAAGCAGAAATCAAACCAGCACAAATATTGCATCATGTGCATTGTGGATCATTGCTTTTCTTTCAGGAGGTGACACAAGAGCCCAAACTCTCAGGGCTGTGGCTGCCATGGTGCTGTGGAGAGGCTTGTCCAGGTTCTGCTTGTTTCCTGACGGGGTCTCTGGTGTTGAGATCACCCCAAGGTGTTAGAAAGTCTCTTTTTCCCAGCCCTGGGACTGAAGAAGAAGCTGAGATGTGTCAGTTCTGCTTTCCAAGGTTATTTATTTTTTCTTGTCTATAACATTCTTTCTCTGTCCCACTGAGGTCTGTGCAGCAGGTCGGGTTGAGGCACACTGGCCACCCTCAGGATGCTGTTATTTTTTATAGTAAAAACCACATGTACTTTATTTACAATAATTTTCCAATACCTATCACTTATGTTAGACAGTCTGCCTCTACTCTAAACCAATCCAAAAGTGCCACCATCCCAGCAGAAGATGGAGAAAAAGAAGGAGAAGGAGAAAGACAGGACATGACCAGATTCCCATCTCGCTTCTCAAACCCCCATTCTAAAAACCCCAAAATTCTACATTTTCACCCTGTGATAAATTCACTATCATTCTATTCAAACCCTTGTGGCTTGTACATCTTTGCACAAAGTTGGTAATTTCTTCCATGGGTTAAAATCAAGGGCACAGGTGTTTTTGACTCCGTGCCAGGGTCTCTGAGCCCCCTGCCAGGGTCTTGAGCCCTCCAGGGCAGTCAGAGGAATATCCTGGGTTCCGACAGGTTCCCCCTGTTACTGATGCAGCCTCACTCAGAGTTTGGCAGGAGCATCTTGGCAACTGGAAGTTGAAAATAACTCTCAGAATTCTAACCTGGAAGTAGAGGCAGTTCTAAGGGGCATGAGAAAAGCAGGAGACAAAAACATACATTTACATATACAATCCTCACTCTAAAATTATTGTAAGTATCCAAAGAATCAATATAACTAGGAAATAGCTTTGTCCTTCAGAGGAGCCCAATAGTTCTGGACTGCCTGAAATAGTCCAGATCGATAATATTTAAAATAAAAAGACAGATATCAGAGTATTAAACAAAAAATACCATTGCCGAGAACTTGGTCCTCCTGTTAATAAATCAATACAAACTAAATTTTACAGCTCCTGTAATCAGCAAGAGACATATCAGTGTATCTCATTAGGCCAGGGTTAAGAATTTGGCAGCGACCAAAGCCCATTTAATATCATTTACTTCAAGGCAGACATGGCAATACAACAGATGCCCTAATTTATTTGTTGATCTTTGTATTAAAATAACAGTTTGCTGGTAAACAGGAAGGGTAATGATGCCAGTCACCCTTGTTAGTGGCTAATAATTGCTTAAATTGTCCACTAATTGACCTGTGGTACTGTTGAAGCACTGGATCGTGTTGCAGGGCATGAAGTAAACAAGGCCACTGTAATGTTACTTTAGAGAATGACTTCTGGAAATAGAACTACTTATTGCCATAAATTTTCTTTTCACAGATGAGCAGATTAATTGGTCTGCCAATTAGTCTGCTATTAAAGAAAAAAAAGGGCTGCCCACAGATTGGTTGGATCTTCGAACTGCAGCCCCAGTTTGGGTCAAAGGAAATAATCCAATCTGAACCAGTCACATCAGCTATGAAAAATAAGACAAGCATTATTTAAAAACACAAACCTCCGTGGCTGGAGATCAAGGAAAATAGCCAAATAATGAAGTAGTAACTCTTCAAGAGACTTCAAAATGAAATAGAGAATGTGATGGAATGGGCCTACCGAGGCACATTACAGTGTGGAAAAGTTCTCCAATTAGAAGAAGCAAAACAATATGGGTTATTTTCCTCTCAAGCTTTCTGGAAAGCAGTTAAAATCTTTATATTTCAAATAATTATGTGCAATTATAGATGCTGCCTGGAACCAGAACAGCTCAGAAATCAGCATTCAGCCATGACACAGGAAGAGGCTTATTCATAGTCCACTAAAAATCCACCAAAGTCTTTACATCAACTTCCAGGAGATTTTCATAGTTGCAAGCAAAAGGGAATAAAGAATTTAAAACAAAGGAAAGGGAAAACAATACTCACAACTGCCAGCATTAGAGACACAGCCACATTGACTTAAAAATGTCAGATTGTTAAAAACCTGATTTCTTGGTAAACCCAGTTTCACTGAAACTGCACTAAATGTGGACCAGGCCCCTTCTACTCTTAGTCACTTCCTTATCATTATTCTTTCTCAAGGCTGAATGCACTTTTTCAAATTTCTCCTGCCTTCTGCATCTCAGCACCTCTCATCTGCTCCAGTGTTAGGTCCTGTGGCAACTTTCTGCCCAGCCCAAATTATCTGCTGGTTCTTCTCAAGCAAGTTAATCATGCACAACATGTCATTTCCACTGTTCTGTCAAGATATTTCCTCAACCAACCTCCTTAAACTCTGTTTAAACTTCCTGCTGGCTCTAACATGACCTCTCCACATTTGCTCCTTCCAAAGAAAAGCCAGCCTTATCCCCTGCTTTTTCCATTACTCCATCCTTTCACCCTGTCTGACAATATATTTAATTGTGCAGCTATATAATACATTTGCCCTACTCCTATTAGTGAAAATCTAATCAGCACAGATCCTAATGCAATATGGCAACTGCTAATGCAAACATACCCTGCACTGTATCTAGTATATGCCAAGAAAGAAGTGATTTATGTTTTCAAACCCATTTCCTAATGCTGGGTAGCTGCTGGCACCCTTCAGTCAGATCTCCACAGCCTGCAGGTTAAAGAGAATGTGACAATTGGGCTCCAACAGCAATAGGATCTATCCACTGGAAAATAAATGTAAAGGAGTCCCAAATACTTATGCTTACATGAAACTGTTGAAATACACAGTTAAAAGAGACTGAATCCA